TAACAACATTACAAGACAGATGAAGAAAACGCAACCATTGTTTGACCACTTATCTGTGTCATCGTAACAACAAGCAGCCCCACCCATATAACACAAGTACTATGTGATGCTTATTGCCATGACACCATTTCTCTAGGGGAACAGGTAAGCAGTTTCCTCCTGGCTCAGCAATCTGTGTGAACCAATCAGATTTCTGCAAACTCTGTGGGGTAGCTGAGCAAAGGTAACTGAAATGGAAAATAGTTGTAATGATCCATCAAGTGTCTAAAACCTGAATCAGTTGGCTTACAAACTCAAAAAATAGCTCTATTATGTTTGAATACTATAATATATGCAGTGTAAGCATAGTATGTACTTTATTATCAATGTATTTTGAAAATGAAATCTTTGTTTTATGATTTTAACTGTATCAGGCAGGAAAAAACATCATATTACCACTTGGTGGCAGCATTTATACCACAGTTTTTTTGTTCTGTGCAGCGGTGGACGCATTTTACCCACCATGTGGCCAACTCATGAATATTAATTACGCACCGTGTCTGGTCGCCCCTTAAAGGTTACAACCCAACGCAACGTCATCGCAATCTAATAAATATTCATACGTCACTTCATCAATTCTACAATTTCCCCGGCGGAGGCGCTCCGAGCAAAACAACAGACTTCTCGGCCTAGTCGCCACCCTCCGGCGTGACGTCACAGCGTCCCGTGCGCGTGGGTGTGTCCGTGGAATCTGAGGAGAAAGATGGCTGCGGGACGAAGGGAGAGGTTGACAAATCTGAGATTCGCTGTTTGATGATAGACAGGTTACGGCGGAGGACGAAGCGGAAAACAGCACTCGCTTGCGTAAGTATTTTTTGCTCAGGTTTTAACGGTCGAATCGCGCTGTGTGGTCTCGTCACCGTTTATTTCCCGCTCGGCTCGCGAGCTCAACGGACAGCGTCAATTCTGATCTGACCCGTTGCGAGCTCACTGTGCGGCTAACGGTGAAACTCCACACAGATGAGACGAGTAAAATATCACTGGCAGTGGAAGAAAATATGCGTAAGTTATACTCTATAAACCATGCTAATGTTGAAAGCGTCAATAATTAGGTTTGATTTGTTTTATCCACTTGACATAACCACACAGAATAACGGGTTTTAACCGCTCGGTTTGTAGTTTAACGTTATGTGTTTAAAACGACACATCACTGCGTGGGAATGTGTAGCGTGACACATAACTAACGTACTCGTACTGAAAGTGAGAAAGACAGAGCTGCATTGGCATAAACTTGAATAACTATGTGATTGACAGCTGTTTAGGTATTTGTAGGTCAGCTTCTTGGAATGAACCATTAAAGCGATTTTGTTGTCGTGTTTTTTTACTGTGCTGTTATGAGTGCCTTTTGACCTGCATGATTATGGTAGATGGTGTGGTGGTTCCAGTTTTAACCTCTAAAATGTTTATGTTGTCATAAGTGATGAACCCCAGGCTTCAAAATGACTGTTATGTTGTTGTGTATCCTGAGTACGTCAAGTTACTCAACACGTGGCTGTGGGGCAGGTGCGAATTATGGTGCATTATTTCAGTCCAAATCATATATAATCATGTGGTCTATCCTTTGTAACTAACCTTTTTTTAAATGGGTCAAACCTTAAGTCTGATTATGACAGTTTATTCACTCAGATGTGATGTGTGGTTGAAAACAATCTCTCATGAATATGATTATGAATATGTGTCATTCATATAAAAGCCTGTTGAGATTTTTATGAAGACTATACATGAAGTCACTGTATTTATCAATAAATGTGAGAGTTGACAGTATTCCTGGTGCCTGGATTGAATATATGCTCTGTATTTATAATTGGATATTATGGCAGGGTTATGAGTGGAAATTGAGTTTTTGAGGGGTCTGCAGAAAAGTAGTGATGCTCTAGTAGGTTCTCAGCCTTATTTCTGTTGATAGTGTATTATTCAATGTTTAACAGGTTTTATCTTGGTATTTAATTATCTCAGGTGTAGGTGCTGGGATTCCTCTCAGCTACTAATTATTGATTACTTTGATCTAAAACAGTATTGATGATTCTCATCCTTCATCTTATTGTTACAAATTCTGTGTAAAGCCCATTTTTGCAAACATTTTTACTTGGAAAAGCTGATGTCTATAATGATTAAGACCAGTGTTATTTTAGTATAATTGAGATATTATTATAGTTTTTCATTAATATTTTAATTTTTGTTTTTTCATGTTTTCTGTTTCATGCAATTTTTAGTTAAATGTGTAGTAATTATGTTGTGTGTTTTTGTCATTTTTTGTATGTCCATATAGTTTTTATACATTTTTATCTCAAACTAAATGAAAATTTCTGCCTTGGCAGCTAGTTGAGTATAATATGTTTAAGTTTTTAAAATATTTGATTTCACGTCCCATTTTTTATTGTTTTAGTTGTCTGCAGTAACTCTGATTCAGTCATACTTTTGCTCCATAAAGTCTATATAATATCAGCTACTAGAGCAACATTTCTGTGCCATAAAACCATATAAGCTTTTGTGCTCTAGTGAAGATGTACTTCAGACTCTCTTCGTCTGTCTTTCTGTCTTCACCCCCTCTGCACAGACACATACACACAATTGCTGGAGTCATTTTGAGCCGTTGTGTTCAGGTTTATTTCCCTTCAGAAAATGCCGCAGCAGTCCTAAACTCATTTCAGTGTCAGAATGACTGAACTTTGAACCCTTGATGATTATAACCCAAGGAATGCACTCGTTCTTTCTCTCTTTCGCTCTGTTCTGTTGTTCTCCTTATTTCCAACTGTCAGTGGTCGACACTCTCTAGTTGGATTCCAGTGAATTTAGTCATTTATAGTTTTGTATGATTCACCTTTTCCATTTTTGCCTCAATTGGCATAAATATGAAGCATGCCATAAGAGAAGTAAATGCATGGCCTAAAACTTGAGTCATAAGGAAGTATGAGTATTTGGTGGTAAAGACACGTTTCAGATGTCCTTTCTTTTAAATAACCTTGGCTCAGATTTGCAGAATAATGTGAATCTTGTAGAAAACAGCCTTGTTTAAGCAGTCTACTGTATATTTAGGGGTAGTGTGTTTTGTGCAATGTCTTGATTGAGGGTACAGTGATTATTGAAGAGCAGAACCTTTATCTTATTAACCCCTTTTCTTTTTACTTAGTGGTAGCAGCACAGATCCATAACCATTAGGTTAGGTCCACCTCATCAGCTTAAAGAGTGCACTGATGTGAATCTAGTAATTACACTTGTATGTTTACCTGCTCCTGATCTGCTACCATTAAGACTTTACCTGTGAGCTGCCAAGACAGACACCTGGCTAATGATTTATTGACCTCAGGACTATAAGAGAAAGAGAGTCCTCTCCATTTGCTTCTCTATCTCTCTCTTTTCCCCCTTCTGTCACATTCTCAAACAGCCTTGCACTATAATATAGGTTGACATGCAAAGCCATTGCTATAACAATTGTTTTGTAATTGATTTAGCAGCAGTGTGTTTTATATTTAAAAAAAGTACTACAACATTTGTATCTCTAGATACTTTGTTATATGAACAAATACTGTATTTTCCAGAATGTCACATTTTGTATCATCTACAACATGCTGGAACTTATATGATGTTCATAATATAATTAATGTTAAGCACATAAAACATGCGCAAAGCACACTTGCATATTATGCATGTTATGCAGCACTGCATGTTATGCAGGCCCAAATTTATTTGTATGGCACATCTTGCACATTCGATAGATTCAGCTTCACTTTAAATACATTTGTTAAGGCTTGGCATTAATAATGAGTTAGTATAGTTAATAAAGAATACCACTTTAATTTATTTTTGTTTTATACTTATATATTTTTATTCCTACTCTGTTCTGAATACCATTAAATTTGAAGGATTTGTTGTGGAGTGAGGGGAGTAATATACATTTATAGTTTCTATAATGTTTATAAATGCTTTTTATTTACTTGTATTTTAGATTATTTCTGAATGTGACTTATATACACCAATGCAACTTATTGTTTGTTTGTTTTTACTGTCAACAATGCAGTTTTGACCCAGTGCAACTTATTTTCTGGAAAATTTAGTAGTCAGTGTACTGTTTCACAAAAATTAAGTATGCAAATCTCTAATTTTGGTAAATGCTTAATTTAGTGACATCACATGCTGAAATGTTTTATTGATTATATAAGTTAAAATATTTAAGTTGATTAAAATTTTTCAAGCTATTTTTTTTTCAGAGCCTCGGCCCTTAAACATTGCATTTTAAGGCAACTTTACAGACAAGCTTCATGTTATATTCTATTTCATGCTGTTCTGTGCATCTAGCTGTTTTTGAATGCAAAAACGTGTATGAATTGATGACTCGATCAACCAAGGGAAGGCCTGAACCACTCTTCTTACTGTTGAGCCTTGGTGTTTGAGTCAGAGTAAGCAGTACGCATTTGCATTAATGACTTGTGAGTGCATGTTTATGCACATGATGCAAGTGTCTCCTCTATGTGTCCTTACTGCCTGGGAGATGATCTTTCGTTTCAGCATGGTTGTCCTCACCGATGATATATTGATTCTTACAGTTACTTTCAGTTACAATTATTGAAACACTTTGCATGTACCTGTGGTGAGTCATAACTGTTTGTGTTTGTTAATGTTTTAAAAGACATATAGATGTGAATCTTGATATGCCAGTAGTGTGCATCTGTGGTGTTTGTGGTTGCAGGGTCGATAAAGAAATCACAGTGAAACACAAGGAGCTGACTGTTCTCCCTGGGGCATTAAGCAGTCAGTAAGCAGGCAGAGCTGACTGACTCTGGACTGCTCAGATAATCTCCGCTGTTTAGTCCCATTACAGCACCACTAGTTGTGTTATGCTGGAATGTTGTAGCCACTAGCCAGCAAAGCGTTTGTAAAAACTCTTTGTCTCCGTGAGTTACCAAAAATGTGTGTATATGTATGTATATATATATATATATATATATACACTATAAAAAATAAACTCAGCTGTCTAATGATCTAACGATAGAAATGTAGGGAAAAAAATTAGAAGTCGTTGAAATGTTGGCTTATCTTAAGATATGGTTTATATTATTTATTTAGTACATAAATGCAAAACTTACCCTTCATCAAGTCTCAGACTCACAGTCAAATGTTTGCCTATAAAAAGAGAAAAACATATGTAAGGGGGAAAAAACAACAACTTTAAAGTGGTTCAAATATTGACTTATCTTAAGATATAGTTTATACTCTTTATTTGGTACAGAAATGCAAAACTCACCCTTCATTCAGTCTCAGACTCACAGACAAACAATGCCTGTAAATTGGAGAAAAAAAAAATAATTATGTAGGGAGAAAAAAAATAAACTTTAAAGTGGTTCAAATATTGACTTATCTTAAGATATAGTTTATACTCTTCATTTGGTACAGAAATGCAAAACTCACCCCTCATCCAGTCTCAGACTCACAAGCGTGTGCCTGTAAAAAAAAACAAAAAATTACTCAACTTAACTGACTGGGATAACGTTACACTTCCAGTGGGCGCGAAAATGCTGAGCCTGCTCAGCAAAGCCAACTGGTACCCACTTTAACAGTAAAATACACCTATAATCGCTCAAATTGCCCATCTTAACGATGTTTAAGACAAATTATAAATTAAATGTGTCCTTTTATTATTGCTTGGACAAAATGCTGCACGTTTCTTTGTGAAATTGAAATATAACACTATAATAATATACTAATATAGTGCTTGCATATTATTGCTCTTTTGTTGGTTTTGACTGAAAAGCGTCTGCTAAATAACAAAATTTAAATATAGGCTAATGTAAATGTATATAACAAAACTAAATTGAAAATTTAAAACAAGCCCCAAATCAAATAAGTAACACAAATAAAAAAAAAAATATCTTAATATAAACAAAATAAGGCTTTGTCTGTGCTCTTTCCATTTAAAATGAGAGGCAACCACTGCATTTTAATCATGGTCCAAGCAAAAATGCTGCATACATGAAACATGAACAGTTTTTAATCTAAATTAGGAATGATTAGGAATACATTAGGATGTAATTAATCACATAAAAATTTGATACCAGCATATCCCTAGTTGATAATAACATAGTCATTGCTGCTGCCACAGTATGAATTGGCAGTGACATAACTAGTGAGTGAAGCAATAACTATGAGAGAGAGACAGAGTATCAGAGGAGTAGTGGTCAGCTGGGCTGTGCGCACACTGAAAGACACTAAAGTAATTAAAGGAGAAACTATGCCAAGCTGTCGTACCGCCTCTTTGCTGGCTAGAAACTGTGCACTTGTAAGTAGATGTTGTTTGACTTGGTCTGGAACATTGGACCCTGCTGTAGTTGAATTTGTGTGTGACTCATACTATCCAATTTACAGTACCAAGAAGCCTTTGTATACCCTTGAGTTTGTGACACATGGCTCCTCCCTTGTACGGGGCCCTTCCTCAAGAGACAGCCTCTATAGCATTATGTCATTGGAATTGTGAACTGTCTTTCTTGGGATGAGGGAGTTCTTGTAGGGAAAGGAAGCCTTATTTCTTGTCACGGTCAAGGAAGTTTTTAGTGAATGGCAGGGTGGAGTGTCTGTATGTGTTTGGTGGTTCCTTGAAAATGGCTTTTGAATTTGTGTTTGAATTTTTTGACCCATTTCTCGAGTCTGCTTTTTTGTCCTCCCTTGTTGTTTGTACTGAAATTAAAGTCTCAAATACTAAAACAATATGAAGTGTCACTGGTTTTGATAACACAGGAAGTGTTGTTGCATTAGTTAAGACCACAGGAAGACGTGTGTGTAACATCACAGAAAAACTACTGCTATAGATGTTTTTTGCAGGTAGGTTTTCAGAAATGCCAGCTGAATGCATAGATGAATATACAGTAGGCTGCCACTTGCAGTATTTAGAGTTGCGAGTGCTTTTGCCTGTTGTATTATGGGTGCAGTTGTTTCACCAGACACCATATTTATTAGATGGTGAACCTGATATGGAGATCTACTGGTGTGCTGCGTTTATGATTAAACCTTTCATTTCTTTCTGCTTTCAAGCATTAATTCTTTATCTCAGGGTGCTATGCTAACAAATTCTGGTTACGAGCAAATACAAATTTTTTGTATGTTGTAGACCCATCAAAATAAAATGTTAGAAGATATTAAGCAGACAGTCTACTAATACTCTAATGACCGCTAGTTGACATGTAGTTGCAAAGTTACTTATTGTTAGTAGAATGTCTAAAGTGGACTATCAAAATAAAGTGTTACTGCAACTAGGGCTGGGCGATATAGCAAAAAAATGTATCAATGATATAATGTTTCATATCATTCGGTATCAATAATTATTGAAATTTTTTTAAAACAAAAAGCAATAGAAATTTTTTTTTAAATGTAACCTCTATATTTATAATTAACACAATTTATTGAGACAAACAACAAATATTTTTTGTTTTAACAATCAAACACAATAAAAATTAAACAAATATCTAATTTCTAATGTTTTATATGCAGATTAAATAGGTCTTTATTGTATAGGTCTAATTGTCTCCCGAGGCCACAGGAGGGCGCAATGAGCAAATTAATGCAGCGCATTTAGCAAGTAACTATAAAAATGTGCATTACGTCTAAATTAACTCATAAAAATCAAATATAATTTCGCAAATTTCATAAACAATTATGAACAAAACAGCATCATGTATTTATGCATTGCTTAATCCAAAGAGCCGAAGCGCCATTCACACAGACTGCACTAAAAGTTTCAACTGTTTTAACTTTGCATGGCTTTCTATACAACTCTTGTGTGAGACGTGAGTGCAGCAGTCATATTTGTCTGTCTAAAATTGCGCTGAATATGCGTTCTGTGTGAATGGCTTGGTTTCGGTTTTAACCCATTCAAGATCTTCTCCGCATTGAGCTTCTATATTTCTCTAATATTTTGAATGAATAACACAGCAGCGGCGCATCTCGTGGGCTAGACTAACAAAACATTAAAATGCAACAACGTCACTTACATCATCACCGCATCTCTCGAGCCACTGATGACGCTCCCTGATGCACACCTAACATTTAAATGCAAATGTTTATTTTAAATCCGACTAATATTCACTCTTTATTGACAATCTCCTCATCACAGGCAGGCACAGCACTCATTTCAGCATGTGTTCGTGTTTGTGTGTGCTGTCTGCGTCACTCATAGCACATGCCTATATCGTGCACTATATCGATAATTTTTTCTATCGATATCGAAGAAGGTGTACCGTTGATAAATATTGATACCGTTTTATCGCCCAGGCCTAACCGCAACATCTGTATGACCCGATTAATATTCACACCCTATACCATAACTTTGCTTCAAACATACATGCATGATGTGTTTTTGTCAGAAACGGCAAAATGGAATGAACAGATCCCAGGAGCCTTGATGTTCGTTTTCCCTTTTGCAAACGTGAGGATTGGGCGAGATGTGTAATAAAATGTATTTTTAATGAAATTCCAGAAATAAATGGTGTCTTTTTAATTAAAGTAAGAATTTATGCTACAGTGCAAATGTTTGGGGTCTGTACATTTTTTTGAAATGTTTTTGAAGTCTTTTATGTTCCCCAAGGCTACATTTATTTGATCACGAATACAATAAAAACAGTAATATTGTGAAATTATATTTTAATTTAAAATTAGTATTTTCTATAGTATATTTAAAAAAGGAAATTTATTCCAGTGATGGCAACGCATCTGTTACTCCAGTCCCTGTTACGTTTGATCAATTGTGTCCTTGCCAGGAAAAAAAAAGAGAACTTGCTCATCCAAAACCTTTGAACAGTATATTAATCATATTAGCATGTATGTTAATCGATTCTCAAAAATAGTTGCAGCCCTCATGGAATTTTTTGTAAATGTTTTTTATTCCTGTGATGACAAAGCTGACTTTTCAGCATCCATTACTGACATTATATATTAATCCTATTAATATGTATGTTATAATCAATTCTCAAAATAGTTGCTAATGGAATTTATGTTGTGTGCCCTTTCGATCTCCCTCAGAATCTAATCTTTATACTGACTGACTGTACTGTTTTTTTTTTTTGTTTTTACCTGCAGGTGTGAATGTGTCATCAATGACCTCTTGCTCTCTTTCTGTCCCTGCAGGTGTGTGTGGAGGAGTCTATGTTATCGGTATGGAGTATAGTGCCGACAGCAAACTGGATGACAGGGAGTGCAGACAAGCCTCGCATGCTCACACACTGATCACTGGTGTACAGTGACTGTTGCTGCATACTTCAGCAGGATTCCATCCTTTCTATGATTTTACCTCTTATTTCTTCAAGCTGGACTCTTCGTTTCTTGATTTTTGGACGCCTTTTGTGAGCCGCCTTACCCCCCCTTCCCCTTTTCCCTTTTCTCTCCCTCTCCACACTTCTCTTCCCTCTCTCCCCTTCATTCTTCCTTGTTGACCTTTCGATAAAATTTGGATCAGCCTGTGCACTAAGATGAGTTGGCTGAGTCGTTTAAATCCAAGAGGTCCAGGCACTCGGACCAGTCGACATGCAGCCCCATCCAGCCCATGCACTGCCGACCCTGAGACTTGTCTTATGGTGTTTGAGAACCACTGGAGACAGGCGAGACACAGCATAGTCTTATTTTCTTTCATAATAATTGTGTAAATAAACTCCTTAAACTGCAATCATGTAAATTTTATTTTGTGCTTTTACTTGTTAACGAAGTATGAACTATCAGTCAGAGGTCAGAAGGCATGTAGTAGATTGTGTACAACAGGTTTTTCAGCAAAGTTTTGATTATGTTGATAAAACAGAGAGCTTACGAATTCATGTATCAAACATGATAATGTGGGCTTTATAGGGTTAAAATGAATGCTCTGCATGCTGCTCTGACTAAAAGGCTCATAGTTGTCTTTCCATATTAATAAGGCAAAAACACTTGGTTTATTTGCTTGGTTTGTAATTTGGAAATGTGTGTTTTATGTGAAAACAAATGCCTTTATAGTTTTATGTCTTTAGGGCATGTCAGTAACCTTTTATGCTCAAATATATTGCATACAGTAGGTACACCCACACATCAACAGGTTTTCCTCCTTAGTGTCAGTGCTCTCTTATTTTTCCACTACATCAATATAGACACCTATTCCTCTTTGACCTTGCCACAAATAGAATTTAACTGTTCCTTGTCTTTTTGTCAGGTGTCAGGGGTGTTGAAACAGAGAGAGTCTTCAGTGGGCGGTTATGCCGATGATCTCACTGCAGTTCGCAATCACACAGATCAGATGCTGTGCCTGCTATCTGAAGAGAGACCAGCAGGGGGAGACATTGAATCTCCAGGTTAAAACACTCTCCTGTGAGCTCGATGGAGCATACATTTGTGCTGTTTCACAGTTTAGCGTAATATATGAGAGGCTGCTTTATGTGACAATGGATTGTGAAATGTCTGCAGCAATGGGTCCTATTCTGGAGATGGTGGTGGCGGAGAACATCCTTGATGAGTT